GAGAGAGAGAGAGAGAATTTAATTGAAGATATAAATATTTATTTAATTTGTAAAACTTTATATATATAACTATTATAATTTTTAATCTTTTTTAGAATTTTATTTAAAAAAAAAAAATAAGCCAAAATTTAACTTATAAATTTAAATAATATAAAATAAAATTTTAAGAAGATAATATGAAGCATTCATATTTATATGTATATAATATTTTATATTTTTTATAATTTAAAAAAAAATAAATAGATTATAAGCTGTCAAGTATATAACGTGCAACAAGATAAGGAATACAACTTTCTGTGGTATATATTTTGAAATAAATAATAGAAAAAATAACAATAAATAATTAATAAAATGTACCTGTTGCTTTTTTTGATTTAATTTGTTACGTTTAATAACATCTTCTGAGGCGTTTAAAGCTTCTGCAGCAGCAGCTTCTAATCGACGACGCTGTTCATTTTCTTGATCCGCAGCCTGTAAAAAATATTTTACTTATTATTTTAATATTTATTTTGCTGTTTTTTTTATTAAATATTCTACTGTTCTATTTTCTATAACTTTTTAATTAAGAATAAGAACTTTTTTTTATAAATCTATATATAACAATACCTTAAATGCCCTTGCGAATCTAACAAGGAGAGAGAAGAATGTATTAGCATCAGCTTGTCTAGGACTTTCTCCAAAAAATTCAACGCATTCACGGAATGCTTCACCGGCAGCACGAGCATCAGATTTTAAACGACGCAATTTTTCTTCGGAATTATTTAAGAAATCTCGCAAGACAGTGTTATGTTTTTCTTTACCACGAAGTTCGAATTCTTTTCTTACAAGATCCATTCCTTTTTCTAATTCGTGTACATCGGTAGTTATATTTTCCAATGAAACTAAAAGAATAAAATAAAGAAAATATTTAGAAATATAATATGAAAATGTTATACAACAAAAAATTATTTAAATTAATTAAAATATTAATGTCGCATACCGGTCGCAGCTTTATCAATGTACATAAGTTCCGATTCGAAATTAATTAATTCTGGAAACTTGACTCGTATTGTTGCTACAATATAATGTAAAAGGCACATTCTCTTGTCCGTTGATTTCGTATCGAGTAATGTGTCTAAACTTTGAAGTTTAAACCCGTACGCTGGGCCTCGTTTGCTACTATTTAAATAATTTCCAAAAGCAAGAATAATTTCTAATACTGCTCTTAGTTTCTTTGAACTTTTAACTGAACTTGAAGCAGATATCACAGCATGTATTTGTGGTGTAATAAGATGTAAATTGTCAAAAAAGTTTCCAATATAATTCATAATAGATAATTTCGTTGATATCCTTTCTACTTTACCGAGTTGCATCAAAAACTTATCTTCTTCAGTTAGAAGATTAACATTTTTCTTTTCTATAATATATTCCCTGTATGCTTTTATCTGTAATACGATAAATTTTTATTTTATTATAATTATCAATATTTCTATATATTATTTTTTATAAATAGAATAAACAAAAAGTTGTAGAATAAATCATACTTCTTGATCTGTAGGCACCATACGTTGTAATAATTCTACGTTTTCCAATGAAAGTACTTTTAAATCCAAAGCATTTACTGCCATAATAACTTTTTCTACTGGCATTTCCATTTTTCTTCGCGATATAGCTAAAAATATGTAAAAATAAAAATACATTTTTATTTTGTTTAAAATCTTTAAAAATTTTTAAAATTTAATTTGAAATTTTCATTACACATACCGATATTTCGCAATCTGGTATGTTCTAAAAGCGATACATTTTCTGGTTTCTTAAATCTTTTACTAGGAAAACTTTGAAGACCATCGATTTCATTATTGCCATTAGCAACATGACTTCCCATTCCAATTTTAAATCTTTCTTCGAAATCGGAAAAATCTATATAATTGTGTAGTCGATCATCATCCAGTTCATTAAAAATAGTACCTCGTACTTGATTAGGTTTCAATGCAATCCAATTAAGCGTGGGAAGTTTATATTTTGTTTGAACCTGCAATTTAAGAATCAATTTAAGAATATTAGCGAGCAAAAGATTTTTTTTTATTCAAATATTGCTTTATTGATATAAAATATGTACATTTAATAAAGTTTAATTATGCAATAAATGTATATTAAAAATTTTTATATAAAAAAGAAAGAAAGAAAGAAAGAAAGAAAGAAAACATACCTTTCGTTTAATAGTCATTGCTCCATCTGGTGCTTGCATCATTCCAGCAGGTGGTGGAGGTATAGGTGCAGGTGGCGGTAATTTTTGATCTCCGGGAGAAAGAGGTGCCATAGGAGGTGGTGGTGGACACGGAGGAGGAGGTGGTGGAGGTGGTGCTGGAGCGGATGGTGGAGATTCTTCTAATGTCGGAGACGGAGTCGAATTAAGCGTAGAGCATGTAACATTATCTGAATTACTGACAGGACTCGTAGCACATCCATTCCGAAGATTGGCTGCTTAAATTTCAAAATAAAGTACATTACGTTAGATGGTAAAAATTTTTTGTTAAGCTATTTAAGATACAGAAAAATCTTTGACATACTTGATGAACCCTTCGTGAGGGTTCCAGTAAGTGTTTCCAATTCGATTATTTTGTTCTCTAAAACGCTTTGTCTTCGAGCAGAATCTTGTTTTTGCCTTTTCAAAGCTGTCAATTCTTCTTCGGCCAATCGACGAGCTTCTATAGCATCAGCGTATTCTACTTTTAACGCACCTAATTCAGTCTCTAATTCCGCTAATTTTGCAAGCGATTCTCTTTCTAATTCTGTCATCCTATCATGTGCCTATTTTTGAAACGTTCAACAAATAATTATTTGTGTAAAAAAAAAAAATAATACAAAAAATAGATAGAAATTTTTAAATTTAACTAACATGACCAAGCTCATCTTCTAATTCAGCTACTTTTTCTAACGCAGCAGTCTTGGTTTCACTGTCTTCCATTAAGGCAGCTACATCAAATACATTATCTAGATACGCAGAGATTTGAACCTGGAAAAAAATTAAAATAACATGTTGAATATTGCTTTAGAGATTAGAGTAAGCAAAAAAATGATATCATCAAAATATCATCAAAATGTAAAAATATCAACTACATCGAATACAATTTTTCATTAAAAAATATTTAAAATTCTATGTATTACACGAAAATGAAAATATAAAGAAAATTGTAATTATAAATATAAGAATAAAACTTTTACAAATATAAACACGGATAAAATGATTTTAATATATGTATATATTTAGATAAAACTTTATCTTTATTTATATATCTTTATCTCTTTTTTTAAAGCAAATTTGAAACTTTCTACCAAAAGTTTTTTTATAAATAAAAGTTTCGTATACGAGGCCTCGATCGAAGTTTAAATTTAACACGACAATATTTAAAATATTAAAAAAAAATCTACCAACCTGCAAATCCTCGCTCTCGGTATGCCTCAGTTTCTCAAGATACTCGTCCAAACCAAGTTTGGTAAATTCATATTGCAAATGAACCCTGAAATTCATATCTTCTACCGAATGAACAACGATATTCACGAATTGCATACAGGCAACCATGAATTCTATGTGGAAACTATCATATTGGGTGAAGTATGCCATAAGCGTAGTAAATCGTCGTCTCTCCGAGCAAACTTCCTTGAAGTTGTCGAACGCGGAGAGAATAATTTCATGACCACCCTTTACCAAACAGATAGCAGCAAGAAGTTCCAAAACTAGAGCTTTTGTTCTGAAAACAAAATTTCAGTTTTTTCCAATTTTACAACGAAATTTAATTAATACTATTTATATATTAAATTGGGGGAGGGGCGAAAAAATATTTTTACCTCAAACTCTTGTGCATCAAACTGAGCGCGATGCAGTTGATTGCTTCACGATGCTGAATGACCATGTTGAAACCATACTGTAAAATATTCATTACAAATCTGAGATCTGATTCAAACTTAATACGTGCTTATACGTGTTTTTTTTTTTAGCAAAAATTTTCAACAAGATATTTTACAATTATAAACTTAAAATATTTGCGTTATTTAGGTAAAAAAAAAAAAGTTTGCACGATCGAACGTAATTTTTTGTACCTTGTTATTCATGATAGCACGCATGCATAATATGCAAACGTGAATGTCATCTTTCGCTTCGCCCATGTTCAATCGTGCCACGTGTCGAGATCTTCTTTTAACGCCGGGACTATCTTTAAGTTCGTGGAGCGGCGGTCTAAGACAACCGTTATTTAAGGGCGAAGTATCCCCGGAACCAACTGAAAAATATCGTCCATTTACCAATTTAACCTCTTTCAGGATGTCGTTACAATAAAGACAAACGATGATGGCGTGCATGTGAAACTCTTACCGGTTTGTAATTTTTCTTCAGAACTCGCATGAGATTCCAAGAGACGTTGTTCGTGCCTCATCATGAGCAGTCTGAAGCTGAGGTAGTCTATAAGGGCGTCTAAACCCTGGTTTTCTTCGTCTAGGAACTCCCTCACCCATCTAAACCAATCAAATTAGAGTATTTATAACTATTTATTATTGTTAAGCCACTGAAAAATTATTTTTACACCTTCTAGAAAGAATTTTTATTTCAATCCAATCTTGGTCAATACGTTTTTTATCGCAATATTGTTGCTTCATTTTAACGATACTCTAATAATAATAAATAATTTTGTTTCATAATGAACAAAATTAACTTGCAATATAAAATATAATACGTGCATGTAATGTTAAGATAGCTTACTCTATATGATTCGTGCGCAAGGAAATTTCCAAATCCCGTAATACTTGAGTCGACGTTGACTCTCCAACCATTTTCCTCTTCTGGAAGAATGCGAGAAAACGATACGACTGTATAATCATTAGTATCCGTCGTTCAAGTTTTTTTGGACGCGAAAAACGAACAAAAAATAAACGATCTTTTTGTACACGAAAACTAAACGTGTGTCAGACGAATACGTATACCAAGTACGTATACATCAGGATGGCAAATATTATAATTCACGAAGAGATAATGTCAATGTGCAATAGGAAAGTCTTCAATATTACTATCTCTCAATTGATAAAAAATCCAATTAGCACAATTTTTATCATCACTTTGCAATCACTTATTCGATTGGAACAAATTACAGTTCATTTAAAAAAATGAACAAATAGATTACGATCAAATCGATCGATTAAATTTATATTAAAGATATTAATCACTTGTAACATCCTGATGTATAGTACAAGCTGATCAAATTAAGAGAATCACCACTTCTTTACTTTTATACAATGATCGATTAAATTTTTTTGAAATTGAATTCCAAAATGTGATTCTCCCGTTGTTTAACATCCCGAAATAGGTTAGGTTATATTTTAATTCGCGCCGCAACATAAAAAGGACGAAAACACGAAAAAAAAATATATAACACAAGAAAAATAAATAAAATGGAACATACTCGATGGCTTCGCGAAGCTTTTGGATCCAGATAGGTACGTAATTTTGCTAAATAATGGGATGGTGGATCCTTAGCTTGCACTCTTTCCTGAAAATATCATTTATGCGTTATTCAAATTTCGTGACAATTTCGTAAAACTTTTTTTACAATCGCTTCATTCCATTCTATCTAATCGCGACATTATTTTTAAAAATATTCCAACATCTATCTATTGTATAAAGAACGACATAAAATTCCAAATATAAATGAGATATCAGAGTCATAATATGGCAATTATTCGAATTTTTTCTTTTTATATCTCGATACTCGTTTCGACTTATTCGATTCTATTTTCGAGAAAGTTTAGCAAGTTGGAATTTGATTCGAGGCGTTGTATTTTCAAAAATGCATCGGTCGAAGAGAAGTTTACAGACTGTTGTTAAGTATCAGGAGACGAGCGCGCACGTGTGTACATCGAACGCCGATGAAACGAGGGATGCTGTACACTTTTTTGCAGCCCGCTTTCTTGTATCGTATAATAGCACGGCTTGCATTACATCCGTGTCGTGTTACCCACATGCCCTACAGGCCCGTTAAAAAATTGAGACGGGCCATCGATGACCCCGAACAGCCAACTCTGTCGCCCTAAAAGAATATTTCATCAAACAGATTCTATGCAACATCTTATCACATATCGTATCACATAATGCTCTACTCGTTTTCTCTGTTTAATTTTTCTTTATTTTTTTCTTTCCCCCCCCCCCCAATAAAGATAACTGATACAATGTTCGTTCAATGCCAATGTTTCATCAGGATAGATAAATTTAATGCTCGAACTACTTATATGTCATTATTTATTTATCTATCACCACTCAATAATTCATCGAAACGTGTACAAGTTGGCCTTGCTTTATTTAACGCTGCAGGAAAAATTGTCATTCAATTCTTTCTTACTTACAAAAACGAAAGAAAGAAACGGAAATAAATAGCAGAGTGGGAAAAGTGGGAAATGATTATATCTGAAAATTGATTTGAATTTAAAGGGTGTTTTAACCTCGTCTCGTGCACCTCTTCGATCCAGACGAGTCGTGAAATCCATTTTGTGTTTTCTACTGTGCTCTAGCAGAGCTCACGATGAGAAAAGGGAGTAATTTCCACTCGAGACGAGTTCCACCCTACTCTGCTAACTGCTTGCCTCTTCTCGGTTTAACGAGGCAAGTAGTCAACCTAAACCGCAAAAACCTTCCCTCAACTCTTTACAGAAATCCTTTGTAACTTTTTTTTTCCCCTCCCCGCTTTTTTTCGAAACCAATGTATTCCTTAAAATTTCGTTACACGTTGCTCCTTTCGTGTAACGAAACATTTTTGCAACAATTTTTGTTAAACGCTTTTTAAATTTTGTTATTAAAATTTGTTGATTAAAATATCTTGAGAATAAATTTACCAAGTGTTCAACTTGCCTATCATAATCCACGCCCTTCTCTGGATCAGAAGAGGTGTCTCGTTCGACGACACTTTTGCCCACCCTCGATTAAACTCGAGATTAAACCCACTTAAGCATAGCCTCACAGAGAAGAGACGTACAAGCAACAAGATTACATACACACGCCTGCCCGACGATACGTCGCGTATTCGCTTATTAAACATGTCTGCTCTCCTCTATATATATATAGAGAATCGTAAAACGAGTCTTAATTTTTACAAAAATTTAAACATTTGTATATAATTTGGTATCGAGATATCAGAAAAAATAAATTTCGAGACGAACAATTTTCCAATTATCTTTTCATAATATTTATTCCCAATAATTATTTATCAGAATCGAAGGAATCCCGTTTTCCATACTTGATTTTTCTATTTTTAAAATATCCGTCTAATAATTGAACGAAGAAGAAGAAATAAATAAAAGGAAAGAAGATCGTGGGACAATACACGAAGCAAGGGTCGTGGACCCGCATTCATTGGCCAATGTGGAATTAAACGAGTACGAAGCGGGCAAAGATCTCGGAGCGCGTTGATTAACAATAAGTTCGTCAACTTAAAGATTGATTACGTCATTTCTCATAACGGCAGCAGCGTGACGATATCAGTTTCGCCAACGGCATTTATCGTGAATTCGACAATTCAAAAATTCGATACACTTGTCGAGCGTATTCGTAAACGACATAAAATGTACAGATAGAAAATATTTCTTTCTTGTAGCAATGTAATGAAATTTTAACAAAATCGATGCCCGATTCAATCGTAAACTGATTCATTCATCCTTGTTACTCACTTGATCGCATATGATGTCCCATTTTTTCTCGTTGTCGTACTGCTTTAAAAGCTTCGCTTTGTCCGGAGGCAAATCCATCGAAGCCTAAAACAGAAGAAGAAAAAAAAAAAAACGAAATTTCAATGTTTCACTTCAACGGCCGATACTCAAAGAGTTGTGGCTTTCCATCTTTTCTTTTTTTTCTTTATGTCACGCAAAGAAAAAAAAAAAAAGAAAAACGAAATCACAACGACTCAATAATTCATGCGAAGAAATAATTTACTTCGGTTACGCAACGTTGAAAACAATGAAAACTATCTATATAATTATCTGGTCAGAATTATTGTATATGCTTGTTAGCATAAAAGTATGACTTATACGATGCAAATTTTTTTTTTTTACGTTGAAAATATAATTCAAGTTACGTAAGCTACCTTGAAATAATTTTCAGATAAGAATTAAATGGTACGTAATTATTAAGACATTTCGTTTCTACGTTGTATTTTTATGGATAACGACAATTCCAATGATATTATTTTAACTATAAAAGAAAGAAAAAAAAAATGTTTTATCTCACATTTTAATTAAGTAAATTTATTCGAAAACATACTATACATATATCTCATATAACATTATCGATTAATCAACTTATTCAAATGTTCCCTAAGATTTTAATTAAGAATCATACCAGCTAATCGTTCAAATATTTATATACAGTCTCCCCTTATGTTTGAATTGCTCTCGTTAAGGTAATGAAGTTGCCTAATTATTAGGGAAAAGAAGGGAGAAACCAACTAAGACAACATCGAGTATCCTTTCAAATTACACGAATATAAAAAAACGACGGTGAAATCTCTACGAAATTTTTAAATTTTATCCTTAATACGAAAAGATAAAAATGAATAAAGAAACGTTTGAATTAATATTAGGATATACGCGTATAAAAACGTGTAAGTATGTAAGTTATATACGTACACTATATACAGTAAGCGTAAAGCGTACGTCATCGTGGCTAGCGACGAACATAGTCGGCGAATAATTATCGAAGAGCGGATGCGGAAGCCACGAGTGCATGACATCACTATTCGCGATACATATACGTTGCATATATGGTGGTTCTTCAACGTTAGATCGTGCGATAACGCGTTCCAGGCCACGAATTGCCATAAATCGTGTAAGGCTAGCGTAAGTACGCGATCGTCATCTTTCTTGCGAGCAAACTAGATCCAATAGTATAATCTTATTTCCGATTGTTCACGATCAATTTAAAATATACAACGCGTAACAAATGACTAACAAATTTTTGTTTTCTATATGAATTGATAGAAAATGTAGAATTCACGAATAAACGGAAGAAAATTGTGACGATGAGACGCGAGTGAAAATATATCGCGTTTCGCAACAGACGTTTTATTCGATACGGAATAGGGAAAAGCTATAATTTCCCGCGGCCAAGACGATATTTGTACAGTTATGGTTGTTGCTCATTTGGAGCAACTCTACTTTCGATTCGGTTTCCGGAACCGTTGCTTTATTCCGCGTTAAAAAAAGAAAAAAAAAAAAACTTTTACCCGCTCGTTTGCCCGTGTTTCCCTCTAAAAACAGTTTATTCCTATCTATTTATTTTTTTTACGCGGAAAAGATTTTTTATCGCTTTATTCTCTTCGGCGAATATGTATTTTCGCTCGAGAAATAATATTTTTCTTCCCATAAAAAAAAAAAAAAGAAAATAATTTCCAAGATTTATTTTTAGAAAAGAAACGAACCATTACATATAATATTCAATTACCTTAGAAGGATAAATTTTAATTTCGTATTTAATAAAATACCAGAGGCAAAATAACCAGTCCCAGTCCCAGTGTTCCTGGTATTACACGCAATGCTGCGTCGGAATAATGAAGCGCGTGTTTTCAGGCCAAGGGTCACCGGAAATGGAGATTAGAAAGGGTTGATTTTTTTTACTCGAAAAATAGTATTCCAACCTTGCTCGCAGCATCGCAGCATCAAATTGTTTCGATCAACTCAATTTTCTTCTTCTTCTTCTTCTTTTTCTTTGTATCCGTTTATTCTATCTTTTTCTTAATAAACAAACAATATTTTTCACGCGAGATTTAACAGAGCACGATAAAATGTAAATAATTCAATTGAAACAACAAGTATTTGAACAAGTATTATTTATACATACAACTTGAATCCTATTATCACGGTGGAGCAATATATTCGGAGAGTAAGACGGTGATCGAGAAAGGAAAGAACAATCGAAAATCGAGGGAATGGTTGGAAACGTTGCACGAGTTAGCGACATCGATGGGTCGAGGATAGATGCCGCGATCGATTAAGGTCGAGAGCGTAAAAAAGGATTCGATCAATCGCGGAAAGTCCCCTTGAAAAGACTCATACGATTACTCGGGGTTCCATGTTTCTCTCTCGTCGGTTGTTCCCATCCAACAATCGATACCAGCTAGGAGCGTAGAGAGGGTTTCAGTCTCCCTTTCGTGAACTTTATATATATTCCAGCATGTGCAAATGCAACATCGCGATTTCGAATCGGTTAGAGCACTTGGACCAATTATAGAAACTCCGTAGAGTTTCTAAGCGGACGGCCCACTCTCTACTTCTCGTCTCGATTCTACCCTCCCTTCGTCTTTCTTTTCTCCTCCGCCAATCGAAGCGATAACGCGCGATCGTAAATATTTTTAAACGATCTAGACGATCAATGGCGCCTAATTATCGACACGTTTCCTCTCCTTCTTATCGAAACGTGTTATATTATATATTTATTTCGTTTTTTTTTTTTTTTCTAAACACGACGTTTCCAAGCGAAATGAAATTTGAACGACGCGTAAGAAAAATAATTGAATTGATTCGAGGTAATGAACGAGTAAAATAAAAATTTATTTTGTTTCTTCTGGAATGGAACGAGGATTCGATTAATTCAACGAAAAAAATTTTATTTTTAAGAGGTACGAACGTTTCTTCGAAAAATGTTTTTGCATTTCTTTGATTTCCAAAGAAATATCGGGCGATAATTTCGTCTGAAAGGAAAAATTCATTTTTTTTCAGAAATCGTGATAAATTTACCACGATTTATTTATTTTATTTTAAATTTCTTTAAAATGATTTCAGGA